AATTATTATATTAAATTACTTTTAGTTAATTTTTAATTAATAATTTTAATTAATTTTTTTTTTAATTTTAAAAAAGAAAAACGAAAATATAAAAGTGTGAGGTCACAATCATTATAAAATTCAGCCAATGAGGAACACTCATTATAAAATCAGCCAATGAGAAAAAAGTTCTACACTTGAAGTTAGCTGTTTTGACATCAGTAAGTAATGTGACGATTATATCCAATCAAAGTAAAGGATTTTGAAAAAGAGCCAATCAAGAAAAAGTTCTACACTTGAAGTTAGTCGATCTTACGCACCTTGTTTTTACAAAAGGATTGTTTTTACGAAAGGATTCAATAAGTTAAATATAATAGAAAAATAAAATTTCAAATAAAATATTATAATTTAATTGAATTTTGGTCCTGCTCCTGTGTCAATCATCTTGTTATTGGAACTTTCAACTCTTTAGTATCGATTCGAATGTATGGAATTGCATTAGTTTTTGCTAAATTAATGTTTCTGGATGCATAGTAATTTCTTCTTAATTCTTCCTCAGAGCACCCTACTGAACAGGAATTTGTTATTGTTATCATCCCACATCTTTTTCCTACAATTGGTGGAAATGTGTTCTAATTTTTTGCAATATTTACACGTTATACTTTGATTTCTATTCGCAAAGTTTGTAGTATTGTTAGTTCTTGGTTCTTGAGAGAAATTTCTTTGTTGATTTTGGAAAAAGTTTTGTTGTTGATTTTGTCTTTGATTTTGGTATGGAGTTCGGAATTGATTTTGCGGTATGTTTCTAAACTGATTTTGTGATGTGTTTCTAAATTGATTTTGAAACTGATTTTGTTGAGGATTTTTGTAAAAGTTTTGATTTTAAAAACTATTAAACGTTGGATTTTGATTGTTGAATCGATTTTGATTCTGGTTTGAAAAATTTTGTCGTGATCCTGGATAAAAGGAGTTTTCTCGTTTTGGTCCTATCAATTTATTAAGTTGAAAACAGTTTACTGCAAAATGACCCTTTTTTCCACAAACTAAACAAGTTATTATGTTATCTTGAGCGATATTAATTTTTGCTGTTTTAGCGAAGTCTATTATTTTTAGGATGAGAATTATAATCAGTATTTTGTTCACTTTTTCGTAATTCACGGTGTGATAATAATTTTCTTTCTATTTCTACTGCTTTATTTACTATCTCTTGAAATGTATCTGCTGTTCCAATTCGTATTTCAATTTCTGGTCTAAGTCCTCGTGAAAAACAATCAACACTTGTTTTGTCTAAACTTGCTTTGAATGGTTCATCTACTCTATTTTCATTGCTAATCCTATGCGCGTCTAATATTCTTTCTGCTGCTTCTGCGATTCCTGAACCATAAGAAATTACATTTTCGTGTTCCCACATATATATTGCTCCTAGTTCTTCTTGTAACTGATATACAGATTTTGCTGACGCGTAAATTTGTTTTAACCTTTCTGTTAACTGTTCTACTGTATTAAAATTATTTTCTATTATAATTCTTCTTGCTTCACCCGAAATTCGACTCCTAATTAATTTTACTAAATTTGTTTGTACTTGTGCATTATCAGAAAGCATATATTTTGCTTCTAAACAACTTTCAATAAATATAAATAGTGATATGTTTTTTCCGTCAAACATTGGTATTGTTTCTAAAGCATCGCGTAAAGACACTTGCTGATTATTTGGAAGAGCCATGTTTTCCTCAAAATTGTTACTATCTCTAGTGTTATCAAGAGAATTATTTTCAGAGTTATCGTTTGTTTCAATTTCGTCAGTTAAAGGCTTATTTAAGCTTTTATTTGAATTCTGTTCCACTAAGGTTTTTTCAGTTATGGTATTTTCACTATCGTTACTGTCACTGTCAAATGAATTATCGTCAGTATCAAAAAGTTGAGAATTAATATAACCTGAGTGAAACTGTTCTTGTAATTCTAAGGGATTAGGGTTTTCTTTAGAATATCTGGGTGTACTTGTCGATGGTTTTGTTTTATAATTAGGAATTCCCGAATTCAATGCTAATTCTGGATTATTCTTTCTTTGTAAACGAGTTAAATGTGAGGAATCGGTAGTATTTTTATTCGAAGAAGACATTAAAAAATATCATTATCAAAATTTATAATATACGTAATAATTGTAAAATTGTCAATCCTGTCTCTTCAATATAAAATGCACTTTTTCTTTGCGGTTAATATTTTTATCTTGCTTCAGTATAATAAAATATTTTTAAACATGTAATAATAATAACAAATCACAATTAAATGAACAAAATAAAATTTGTTTTAGCACAAATTAAATATCAAAAATGATTCATATACTAGACAAAAAATTCCATAAGTCTAGAGGACTTGAACCCCTATTCAATAATATAACAAAGGATTTAATTTGATGACTGCACCTTGCAACTTTAAAAATTATAAGTTGAGAGGACTCGAACCTCTATTTATTAATACAGAATTGTATTAATTAATGCACCATGCACATTAAAGAAAAATTTATAAGTTAAGAGGACTCGAACCTCTATTCATCTATACCAATATAAGATGTATATTTATGAATGCACCTTGCGACTTAAATCTTGTATAATGTTATCAATTAGCATAAAATGTGTTAAATTAATAAAAATCTTTTTTTTAAATGTTATTGATTAATTTCGATTATTGTATGTTGATATTATTTGTTATTATTATTTGTTACAAAAAAATTTTCCCTTTTTTTAACAATTGGTATACTCATTGATTTATTTATTTTTATTGAATTATTTCATTAATTTAAAAATTATATTCATTAAAATTTTCGAATGTTATTTAAAATTTGACAAAATTATATGGCTGATCGGCTTTATAATTTTTCCGGGCCGATGCACCAAAATTTAAAAGGGCTTCTGTTACGTCAAAACTGAAACCTTTTTAAATATACCTAACATTCCTCGTTTTAAATTAGTTTCAGAAATTGAATCTAATTTGGGATGAGGATAAGTCAATGAGCCTACTAAATGTTGTGAGAGAATATTTATTTAAAACCAACCAAGAAAGAAAAGAATTGACAATAGTACAAAAATACAATGAGTATAAAAATCTTACTTTTGGAATAACGATTATTGCAGGTGTTGAAAAACTGGTGATTGTTATCTCGATTTCCGATCTGAAGTGATTATGAGAAGTAGACACAAAGGAGCCTGTGGTTGGTGTCCTCAGTGGTTGTATATTAGCCTTGTTGTTTACACTAATGAGATTTAGTGCATTGTATTCTTGGGGATTTTACTCTTCTTCCAGACTGTCGCCTCCAAAGCAAATCTCGATGTATATGAAGAAAAGTTTGATCATATGCAAAATGACTAAATAAACAATTTTTGAAAGTTTCAAATTTTTTTCTTGAAAATTGATGTTTGTTCTTAAAGAAGGTACGAATAACAATAATATTAAAAAATTCTTTAATGTCAATTCAATATTTTTTCGGAAGGTCAGCAATGTAAACAACCTTCTTAATGTTTTAAAAATTGACCCAAATTTTTGATAATTAATATTTAATTTTCAATTTCCCAAAAATCGGTCCGTTTTATTTGAAATTAAATTATTGCTTTATTATTGTTTTTTCCTATCAGCATGTAAATTTGCAGAATGCCCTTTTTTGTTTTTGAGTTATTAAATTTCAAAGAATAAATTGCGGCGCGCTGCGTCGCGGTTGCACTGAGCCGCGTGGCAACCGGCGTGAGGCAAGGCTCTACAAGTTTTTTCTGATGATATTCTTTCTCAAATGTGTATTTCTTGAAGAGAAGCTGAATTTTCGTTATTTTCAATTTTCAAATCAACTTTTTTTAAAAACGGCTCCACAGAAGATTTTTGTTTTTGGTGGAAAATTATGTACTTATGATCTAGAATCGAAATAAAGAAGAAAATTTCAGGTGACAGAACCTTTTAGTTAAATCGGTTTAAAAAGCATCGTGTGAAGTAATGCCTTAGGAAGAAAACATGAATTCCGGTGACCAGCAATCCGCAAGTATAGTTCGTCTGAAATGCAAAAAAGAAATTGATTTAGATTTATTATAAGTTTATCTAGTTTCCAATTGAAGAATTTAAAAAATACATATTTGACAAAATGGCGACCTGTCAAGAATATGATTTTGGTTAAAAAATAAAGATCAATTTTCAGATGTAGGAACGTCGAAAACGCCCAATATTACAGGCAAATGGGTCTTCTCTCTCACCTTGCTTCTCCCAAAACCCTGAATTATTAATATTAAGAGACGATTATACAACTTTTTTCACCAGAGTTCAAGTCGGTGGACTTGGTTTAATAATGTAATTAGTTTAAGATCACCTACTTAAGATGTGGTCAATACAGTTGTGAAACCGGCCCTAATAATACTGAAATAATTTACTTAAAACTAATTTATCAAGATCCTTTTATAGAGATTTTGATAAATTTATATAGTTACCCACGTAGCACAGTATTTTTCAGAAAGTTTACAGGAAGTTTACAAAGTGAAGTTCGGAAATTTTCTTTTTAAACTTCCTGTAAACTCAAAATGTCCTCCGAATGCAATATTCCGGTGAAAACTTCCTTAAAAATTTCCACAGGAAACTTATAAAAAGTTTTTACAGTAAGTTTGCGGAATTTTTTTGAAAAAATAGTTGAAAAGTAAATGAATAAATGAATGAAAAAAATGAATCTCATGCTCAGAAGTTTTCTATGGGATCTAGGCTGCGCAGTACATTTGAATCACTTTCCCTCTGGGGTTGGTATATGAGGTAAAATACAGTAGAGACCCCATTATCCCGATTTTCGATTTATAATTTTAGGTATTTATTTGCATATGTATTTAATTATAAAATGTATAGTTAGAAATATTTAAAAAGATTTACATATATATATTTTCTTAAAATTATTAAAATACATAAAAACGCAACGTTTCATTTAAAAATTCAAAATTTATGGTATATAGGGAACGTGACCACTAAATAACAATACCACAAGTGAGTTTTTCCTTTTTCAGATTTAGATAGAGCTAACATTACAACGACAACTTCTCAAAAAGCTACTGATAATACAGAAGAAACATCTCAAAATGGAATTGAAAATTATCTTACATCCACAGATCCTGCTTCTTCAACAAATGCTAATGGTTTGCAAAATCAAAATATCAATGACAGTATAGCTTCGCCAGCTAATTTGAGAATTATTTCAACTAATATTTGGGACGTGAAAAAATTTAATTATTTAATTATTGATGAAACTACAAACGTTCCTTGCATTCTGACAACAATGAATATCACACTCACAATACCTTACAAAACGAAAGAAAATAAGGTAAATTTAGATTAAGGCCCATTAAATTACATGCATTTATATAAAAAGCTGTTATTCTCGAGTAAAGTATTAATTTTAGATTGATACAAAGAAACTGACAGTTCCATTGAAGAATGTAAACGTAAGTGGTACGTGCAAGGAAGATATATCTGTTTTAACTTTAATGTGGCAAGAGTCAGAGGAATTGAGTTTATCAACTTCTGATGGAATTAACGAAGTTACAATGAATATCGTAAAAGTTGGCGACATTCATTACGTTCAATACTTAATAGTTTCCATTGCATTGGACGATGTTAATTTTCCAAACGCTGCAGGTATTTAAAATGAAAATTTAATTTAATAGATATACACTCCAACGCCAGTTTAGCGGACTGTCTAAGGGAGTCGTCCGCTAAAGCGAACAGGACCATTAACGAGTCAGGTCAAAGCACTATTCATTGCATGATAATTGAAGAAATTTTAAACTTTCATGCAATGTTCAGTTAACTTTCGCGTGAAACATTGAGAAACAGTTTCAATTTAAAGAATTACTTTAACATTAAAGAGCTTCGTAACTAAAGGTTCCGAACATTGCAGTCACGGTAATTTCAACTTTTAGAAAAGTTTCGATGCTGTGCCTATACACATTATTAATTATAATATTATTAATACTATATATCATTATATCATTATATTATATAAATTTATATTATATTATACATATAGATAAATAGACCACTTTCTTATTACTTTACTGACATAAAATCAGACCTCTGTGGTGTCTTTTCGTATCTCACGACCCAAAAAGTCTGCTAAACCGGCGTTCGAGGGTACTTCGTAAAACTTACACTGTAATTGTAATGTCCTATTATTTTAACTCTAACACACCATATACTAAGTTTTAAAAATATGCACTGAGAAGTGAGAAAACCATTTATTTGAATTAAAATTACACGGAGAGAAGAGTTGCAGTAAATTTGACAGAACGCGTTTAGTAAATCGTTTACTACGCCGATAGTGGCGCCAACTGAATGTTTAGTATAATACACTACGACACCTCTCTGTTTAGTAGAATATACTGTTTGCTCAGTGTATCTTACTATCTTACTAAACAGTGCAGTAGATGGCACTGTCTGTACCGTCAGTCCAAAACTAACGATTCTGTTTAGTATATTTAACTGCCATGTCAGTCGAATCTACTACGCCCTTCTCTTCGTGTACATTATATAAATCATAAACTTTTAAAATTTTTACTATATGCAGTCAAAAATATTCAAGTTTAATTGAAACATATTTTTTTGGTTAATTAAAAGAAGTGAATTTGTTGTTAGTTTTCCAAAAATCAAAAAAGAAACGTTCAATATGGAGGCCGAACCCCCCGTAAGGTCTAAACGGTGAAAAATGCATGTTTTTAAGAATTTTTTTTGGCGATACGCAGAAAGTTAATTTGATTTATCGCTTTGCATATAATATTTCAAAATTTAAACAATATTTCTCTAAATTTTTATTAAAAAATATTAAGAATTGAGCGAGATAATGAGATTTTCTTCAGGCGCCTCCGAATAATTGATTTGCGGTGTACGCTCTAACTCGCAACAGAATCATCCAAAACAAAAAAATCAAAGTGCATTTGTTAAAGGAGATGTTTTTTGAGGTAACGCTAGAAGCTTTTTTTAAATTACTAATTTTATAATAACAAATTTATCGATTTTTTTATATAGTGAAAATCAACTTTTTGGCTTTCAAGTGCTACGAAAAATCAAAAAATCAAAAAAAATCCTCCTAGCGTTACCTCAAAAAACATCTCCTTTAACAAATGCACTTTGATTTTTTTGTTTTAGATGATTCTTGATGATTTCTTTATGTTTTGTGAGTGACATTAGTCTGCCAAGTGTTTTTGTGTAATTGATAACTTTATGAAGTTGACGGAGAAAAATTTCTGCTTGTCTGACACCCAGTTTTTGGTTTAAGGTAATTTCAGTAGTTTTAAAAAACTCTTTTTTAATTACTAAAATTAAATAAATCATTATGAAACCTATTTTCCTTCAAAATAGATGTACTGAACTATATAAGATAATTTTTCCAAAAGATAATATCCTATTCCAGCTTGGAGAACACACTTAAAAGTCCCTGGGTGTCGCACACCCAGTGTGCGGTTTAAGGATGGATTCGTTAGTGTGCGCTTTAAGGGTTAAAGAGCTGAAAAGTATCAGTTTAGTATGTTCTAACCTCTGAGTTCCAAACTTTAATTTGCTGATGCTCATAAAAACAGAACTGTCTTTAATTTTTCTAATTTTTCAATTAATATTCTTATAGTTTAACTCAAAAGCTACAATTTCCATCACTGCAATTTTCCATTAAATCAATATACTTACTGATAATTATTCAAATATATGTGTCTTTACAAATCTTAACGGGAGCACGACAAAATGTATAAACGGATATTCGAATAAACTAGAAAACGTGCACTATTTATATTAAACTTATCAGGAAGTCAAAGAAGAAACATGTCATTTCTCAAATCCCCTAGAGAAATTAGGAAATACTATATATTTTTTTTATATTCAAGTAAAAACACTATTAGAAAAACACTGCGTATTTTTATTAATTCCATTGTCGTGCTATGTCATAACTTTAGTATTTTAGTGGATACATAAATAAAAAACCTATAAAAAGTTGAAGATGGATACGACAAAACTTATTGCCAAACTATTTTTTATTTGCTTTTGTTTAAAATATGTAATAATGGATTTTGTACAAATTTCCATTGTAATTGAGTCCACTATCATCGTGTCAAACCATTTGCACGTGGTAGGTGCGAAACAAGCAAAAAGTGTGACCGTGGCTAAAAGTTTTTTTAAAGTAGGTAATAAAGTTGAAATTTTTCTAATCTTTTTAAATATTTTTAAATAAAATTTTAAAAATGATAAAAATAAATCAGTTAATTCAATTAATAATACCCATATAAAAAAAATATAAGTTTCAGTGTCCCTTGATGATACGCCTCTGATGATGTTAGTTTTCCTGTTTACTTTTGACATCTCATTTCAATTACGCGAAAAGTGCTAATTTCACGATATCTAATGTTTATTAATAAATGTAATTTAAAATAATTATAGTTGATATGGATTGTCTAACATAAAAGAACAATTAAACAAACAGAAAATAACAAAAGTTGAAAAAGAGCGACGTAAAAAATTCTGAATGATCCTATAGAAATGTAAATAATTTAAATTTTTTTAATGTTTATGTTGGCATGCAGATTATTTAAAGCAGGATGTAGTCAATAATAATACACAAACACGGATGGAAACGTTCGTTTATTAAGAGCTCGTAGACGATCGAGACGTTCACGGTCGAAGCGATATCGAAAAGTAGAAGGAGTGCGTGCGCACACGGTAGTGACGTAGAATAAACTACTGTTAGAGTCAAGCGAGATATTAGGCGCGAATATAAAATATTTCAACACTCCCTCCCGAGATTGACTCGTTTAAAGTATAAGTAAAAATTATCAATTTTATAAATTTCAAGCTAAAATAATTTATAAGTTTCTCAATTTATTTTAAATATAGTCGTTTCAATTCCATCCTTTTTGAAGTTGAATATTCTGGACATTTCAGCATTGTCGAATTTGATATATGTAACTTCTGTAAATCTTAGGACACCTTTCGAACAGCTCATCTACCAATCTACCAATCATTATGTCTGTGTTTCATTCAGTAACTGAAAATTATTCAAAATAATTAATTTCGTCATTTAAGTATATTTATTACCATCGTCACATATCGTATACGGTCCGTCGTGTATTTATCAGTTGTTCATTTAAATTTTTCTTAGCAGAACTGTCGTTTAATCATTTATTTATTCAAACTGTCTAGAAGAGAAACTGAATCTGTCGTTATTAGGTATATATATATAGTTACGCATTGAACTTTTATCACACAACTTTGTTGTTCGTTATTATATCAGACAATTATTATGTAATTAAAAAACATTCGATATTTACACAATCGTACTTAACATATTATTTGATACATTCTTGATGAACATCCGTCATGTCATATGCCTTAATTTATTTCGCCAATAGTTTTGAACATATCGTTGCAGCTTTATTATCATATTTAACTAGTCGTTGTAAATAAACTTTGTCAACCTTTTTCGTCGGGAATTCGCTTATCGTTATAATTTTGTTAAAATATTGACTTTCATCAATAGCAATATTCAATCTCAAATTTGATTCTTAGTATTTCAAGAGATAATGTCTTTAAACAGTCGCATTACAAGAATCACATTTGAAAAACATTATTTGCTATTAGCAAAAACTTATGTTCAAATTAGCAAACAGTTCGTTTCGTCTACTTATGAAGTTCAAATATAATTTTAATTTCAGTCAAACGTTAAATTATTCATTTAATCTTAATTTATAGTTTTATCTACGTGATAGAAAACTAATCAATCGTTATTCTTTAAGAAATATCAAGAGCTTTTTCATAGAATTCCAAACAGTCATTTGTTTCCACGTTCCTTTTGTTCTTGATTTAATAACTGTTCTAATACATTTGTTGATTTTATAAAATTTATTAGCTGATCAGAATTTCGTTTACATCTGCTTCTTGTATACTGTCATGCTTTTTGTTGCCTCTAAGTCGTATTTTCATATCTAACAGACATTCAGGTTCACATGAGTTTAATTAAGATCGTTATGAGTTTTCGTTGCTAATACTGTTCGTATAAAAATTAATATTTAGATACTGTCGCATAAATTTATTTTAAATCGTATAAATTTTTATGTTGTAAATACTGGAATTATTGACCTTGCTTTCAATTTAAGAGATCTTAAACGGTCGTATTTTCGATTAAAAAACTCATCTTAAATAAATATTTTGACTTTTTACTATTTTTAACTATCATTAGTTAATCTATTATAGGATATAATTTATACTTTGTCGTCAAATATAATTGGTTATTAATTCTTCTCAACCAATCGTTTTAATTTTTAGACTCTACCGTTTGTTTAACAGTCAACTGGTTTTCACTAATCTTTAGTATAAATGTAAAATAAAATATCTGTGTCTTATTTTCGGTTCTAATGAACTCGTCTTTTATATTAGATTCTTTAAAACAATCGTAAATTCAGAAAATTTAGTTTTTACTAATTTAGACTGTTTTCTGACTATATGAGTCTCGTAATTTTCTCGTGTGAATTTAATATTTATTTATTTATACTTTTGTTCAATTCATCTCCCTCCGTTTCTAATAATCGTTTTTAGGGTTTAGTAAACTGTTCTTTATTTCATCTCCCTTCGTTTTTAATAATTCGTCTTTAAGGTTTAGT